CGTCCTGTCCATCCCTGATTTCTTTCCTCTTGTGTTCTTTCTTATTTGCTTTAACTATATCAGTCCATATTTGTATTTCTCTGAATAAAACGTGAAACCGTGTTCCTGTGAGGCAGCATCAGTCACCTCCTTATCACACTCACTCCAGGGTGGGGCCTCTACAAACTTGATTACAAGACAACTGTAATTTCGCTCAGTCTGGAAAATACAGTCACTTAACTAACTCTTCATTCAGTCTAAGAAGAAAAAAAAACCTAAATGAGCAATCCTCAAGATTAAAATGATTGTTTCAAATGCAATTTTAAGGAAAGAGAAGAACTATATTCAAAGTATTCAGATACAATAATGATGAGATAGACAGACAAGAATGGCCACACAGGTCAGCAGACATGTACGTGGACAGCACACTCGGTTAGAGAGGGGTTAGACAGACCCTCAGTCAGGCAGACAGGCAGCGTACAGAGAAAAGTGCCAGCGCCCTGCAGCAGGGAGTTGCCCAACTTTTCCCCACTCTGGCTCTTCAAAACCCAACCCAGATATTTCCTGGTTCTGACACCGGCTTGGCTCTCGGGTCCATCCTGCATGCATAGAGAAACAAGAGAAGAATTGCTCCGACTGTGTTCCAGTGAAGAAAGAATGAATTTCAAGGTCTGGTGACGCAGACTGTTGAACTTTAGGAGGAACAAAAAAAAAAAAAAGCATTTATTTGTGAAATTCCCAGGAAAACATGCTTTATATCACAGTTGTTTGACACTTAACGTCTTGCAGCTGGTCTTCGAGAGTGACGGTGAACAAATTTGATTTGGGGGTTTTTATTCCAATAAGACAGTGACCTGTGTGTTGAGAAACCCGGAGCGGTTTTGAATCCTAGTAAACAACAAATCAAAGCGCTATAGCAGCACTGGAGTGAGACATCTTTATCTGTGAACTGTGACTGTGTGTTCATCTCTGACACCGACTGGGTGAACGGGCCGGCTTCGGTTTCCACGGCAGCGGTGAGGGCCCCACAGTGCACTGGCCCTGGAAGTGGTGCAAACACAAACCACAGGGTAAGTGTGTGTGTGTGTGTGTGTGTGTGCGCATGTGTGCGACCACATTTGAGTTTGTATGTTCTGCAGTGCCCACCTCTAAACTCAGAGGGAGGCTTCACACACACACACACACACACACACCCATGCATGTACGCTCACACATGCTCTCGCCTTGGCTCTCCTCTCTCCCTGGGTGGTCTGTGCTGCAAATGTTTATGATCTAAACCAAGCTAATCCAACTGGCTTGTTTCACTGAATTGAGAATGATTTACAAGATGCAGCGACGGGGCCAAGGAGGGAGAGGAAATCAGAGGAAATCTTAGGGCTCCATTTCAAGTCACTCTGTGATTAGACCTGCACAACTGTCTCTGCGTCTGTTCGCATGCCTGCCTCCATCTGGTTGCGTCTCGGATTTGTAGCATTCTGGTTTGCGTCTTTATTCATCTCTCCCCCTCTCGCTGCTCAGACGGATGTCTTTATTTGACAAATTAGCCTCACTTTGACGATATGCAAAGTACATGCGATTAGTGGAATTTCAATCACATGAGATTACCCCGAACCTCATTCTCGGCTCTTCTTCTGACGCTCATGTTTTCCCACAGAAAGAGAAAGAAACACGACCGTCTGTCTCTGTTTTTCACACAAACGCTGCACTGGCTTTGTCCTTGTGATAGTAAATGTAAGGGAAGACAATGCTGCAATTTTCCTTCCAGGAATAAAAGCATATATCTATTTCAACATGTAATGGCATGGTTGCTTATTTTTTGTTTTATTTATATTCTTAACTGGGATCATTCACAAAAAACACTGCTGCAACTGAACCAAAGTTTGCCACAAGACTAGTTTTTATCGACAGATTATAAAGCAGATTACAAATTAGCCAAAGGAACATCAATGCTTATACAACAAAGAATTATAATACATTTGCTGTACAAGCTGTCTGAAAAGAAGAGGAGACAAGCTATTCGAAATAAATGTGAACATTAAAACACTAAATATGACCCAGTTGCTTTTCCACTCGAGCCGAAAAAAAGTTTGGAACCAATCAGAGCTCAATATCTTATTTTCTGGTGCAACCTGCAGCTTCTCTGCTGACACAAAGACATCTGACTCTACACTGGGACTACTTGCCTTTGTCAAAAACCTTCAGTCTATTTTTCTCTAAGGAGAGGAAGAAAAAAAAAGACACCATCATCCTTGTTACCCTTTTGTGGAATTCACAGACACATTTGCATCTTGTCAAGTGAGCTTTCAGTGACACCAGCCCGGTTCTCCAGTCTAGTTATGTGCAATGTCTCGCACACATCAGCTCCCTGTGGTTAACCAGGCAAGCAGTAATCTCCGTGAGTGTCAGTGGTTTGGTCTGACTTTTATTGCAGCTTCGCTTTCTTGCCAGATCCCCCCCTTTTTTTTTTTTTTACGAAGCGAGAGAGATGCCACCTGCACACTGACAACACCTTGTAAAATGGGCGGGGGAAGAGCATAAACAGAAAAATGTAAAGAGCCTTTTGTAGCTTGAATATATTGAAGGCAGCGATCTGTTACGCTGAAACACTATAATTTATTGCAAGTGCATGCATTATAAACATATCAATAGTGGTAGTGTGTAATTTTATGTCTGTCTGAAAGACGATGTTGAAATATGCCATCAGTAATAACTTTAATAAAGTCACTTTTTTAGTCTGTGTCTTGACAAGTTAAGTTGCATCACTGATTCAGGTTTTATAACTAGTGCAGACTTTTTTTTTGTTATTGTTGTAGCACATTTGTTCGTCCCTTTTGTGTCTATTGTTCTATTGTTGCATACACAGCAGTCGATGGTCAGCAGACCTAGAAATTCAGCTGAAAGCATGATGGAAAAGTGGATGTTCCCCTGTCTCTCTGCTAATGGAACCACCTTTATATGCCCCCATTCACTCCTAAAAGAGCATGTGTCTATTCAATGTATGGCTAAATTCTTAAAGAGTCACGGCATCAGCTGCTCACATAAAGATGACCAAAACTCATGTTGAACTATCCGACGTTGTCATTTCATTGTAACGAACATGTTCTCCATAGCAGGGTTCACGGGTATTGTGGTATTTTAGACCAGTTTGTTGTGTTAACATGACGGACAAGACGTTAGTTCTCAGAAGTAAAGCAGAAATAATTACGGCTACAATTAAAGGGTTGTGGTATCAGCTATGAGAGTCCCATTTTTCAGTAGCAAAAGGATACCGCTTACAAGAAAAAGAAAAAGAAATAAAAACATGCCATTAATATTTGGAAAGCCTGGAAGAGTTGTGTTAAGTTATTTTTATCATATCCATTGCAGGGACACAACAGAGAGTCACCCTCCAGGCTTCAAAATATGCAACAGTTTTCCTGAGAACAAGCCAAGAGAACCATTTGCTTTGGGATGAATGGTGCACCATCACTGAGCTGTTTAGTATCATCCAGTCCCTCGTAATACATCTAATCAATAATTTCCATATCAGTCTTGTATAGCTTCATATTTGCTGGTCTTGGTTCTTTTATAAACCACAAATGAGATCAGAACTAAAATGCACCAACGGAGCTGCCCCCATTATTCAATTTAAATTGAAAATTAATTGCAATGCAAATGTTCAATTAATGATTTAATTGTCCCTTTCTCTATATTTTATGCCTTTATCAGTTTCTCATTACAGTTCATGGAAATTTTGCAGCACCTATTAGAGTTAGACCTCAGCTTACATTTAATGATGTTACATCTAAGACAGTCAAAGGACACCTCACTGTTGGTCCTTTAAACTAAAACTCTCATTTCAACACCTTTCAGTCCATACATTACATTCTGCACCATTTCCTACCATTAAAACTCCTCCAGCCACTCATTCATGCAAAGTTAAGTCTGCAGTGCCATTTAGTTCCCAGCCATCAGTCAAGCAATGCAGCTCAGCATCAGCTTTTATAGCAGCCAACATTCACAGTGCATTTTCTTAAGGAACTGCATTCTCCCCCTTCTTTTTTTTTTGTTGCAGTATTATGACATTCAGGCAACAACGGACTGTTAAGCTTGTTTGCCTCTTTGTCTTCTTGCTCTCTCCTGCTTCCCTCCCTTCTCTCGCTCGCCTGGTTTGGAGCAAGCAGTAACGAGCAGTCAAGCTCATCTCCTGGCCAGAGCAAACAAAACCAGAGCCACATTCCCCGAGCTCAATTTGCTGTTACGTCTCAGCTCTGTGAATTGGGAGTTTTCAAGCTTTAGGTTTAGAGAAGCTGGGAGGCTTCTGGCCGCTAATCTGCTTTCACCACTTTTGGTGTGTGTGATCCCCAGTAATTCCTTGTACTACAGTCAAAAAAAAAAGGGAGGGGGAGCATTTCTTATTTATTTTATAATTCTATGAAGAAGAAGAAGAAGAAGAAGAAGAAGAAGAAGAAGAAGAAGAAGAAGAGTTGCCATGATTAAATCTATGAGAAAGTTCCTTGAAGCATTAGTATCAGTTAGTGTCAAATTTAATTTGCCATTAAGGATAATGAATATAGTGAAAATGGTGAAGAAAATTATGAAGAAATCTGTTGTGTTTAAGCGTGTCCTACATTTCCTCTCAATTTTCTTCTGTGGTCAGTTACATTATAAGATACCAAAAATAAAAATACGCATAATGAAAAAGGACATGTATGAGGAAGCATTTCATTCCCAATGCAATTAAACATTTTTTGCTTTGTATGTTTGTTAAGGTTGCTCCTACTCCCATGAAGAAATACTTTTTCCATGATATTTATAAGAAAATGAAAATGCACATTAAACCTCTTCTCTTCTCTTCTCTTCTCCTCTCCTCTCTTCTCTTCTCTTCTCTTCTCTTCTCTTCTCTTCTCTTCTCTTCTCTTCTCTTCTCTTCTCTTCTCTTCTCTTCTCTTCTCTTCTCGTAGGAACCACTTTACGGAGGAAGCAGTTTCCCACACGGACATATTTCGCTCAGGGCACGCAGGTGTCATCATACGATGCTAGCTGTTAGCTTCATTTACGCTGTCGCTGTCAAGTAATTTAGCGACTAAATTGAAACTGTGTGGCTACGGCTCTTTTAATTGACTGTTTAGTGTTGAGAAGACGTGTCCGGCGAGCTGTGAGCTGTCTCCGAAGCAGCGGCATCGTCTGTTGCTCTGTGCTAACCGTTAGCTAAGTGCTAACAACACTGACAGCAACTAACTTGCATGCGTCTCCCAGCGCTGTCATCAGGCAGCCGATCAACAGGGATCAAGGAGGCTCTGACAGGTATGTTTAGATTTATTTTTGCACATTTCAGCTGTTCTACGTCCTGATCTAAACCCCTTTTTAAAGTCATGTTGTGATCAGCGTACCTGAACATTTGTCAGTTGGTTCATTTGTTAGTTCAGTCAGGTAAGTCTGCCCCTGCTGTGTTTAACACATGTCAGACTAACATTAAGAGATGATTCACTGATGTGAGTCTTTAGGACTCTGTCTACTCAGTCAGAAAGTACAACATACAGTCCAGTAGTTGTACGATGTGAGCTGCAGCGCATGCACATGTTGTCCTGAGACCACTGAATGAATAAGAGAGGCCACTTCCACACAGTGTTACTCTCGTACATGTGGTATTTAATTTGTTTAGGGGTTTTCCTTATGAAGCAAAAGACCAAACACGACTAGTTTAAGAGAGAGAAACAGGGTTGAGATGAGTAATAAAATATTTAATAACTTCATAAGCATCATTGTTGACTTGTTTAGAGCCATCAGTAACAAGAATGGTTATTCATTTTAGTACCTGCAGGTTTATCAAACTCTGCAGAATAGATGTATCAGTTTAATTACAGATTCTTTTTATTTATCCATCCATCTATTATCTATACACCTCTTAATCCTCAGTCTATCCCAGCTGACTCAGGGTGAAGGCAGGGGACACCCTGGACAGGTCACCAGTCTATCACAGGGCTACACTTAGAGACAGACAACCAAGCACACTCACATTCACACCTACGGAAAATTTAGAATCACCAATGGACCTCAACATGTTTTTGGACTGTGTGGGAGGAAGCCGGAGAACCCGGAGAACCCGGAGAGAACCCACACTGCACGGGAAACTCCACGCAGAAATATCCTGGGTGCCCCCACCGGGATGCGAACCGGCAACCTTCTTGCTGCGAGGCAACAGTGCTACCAACTGCGCCACCTTGCAGCCCTCTCTTTATTTATTTTTAATTATTTTACCTATAGGTCCTATATTCCCAAAGCTGAAAGAGACATGTTGAAATGTGTCATTTAATCAGACCAACAGTACGTAACCCATACCTGATCAGTTAATCGATATATAAACACAGAAAAATCTGCATATCCTCATATTTAGAACAAGCAAATGTTTGTCACATTTTGCTCTGACATGACTTAAATCATTTATCAGTTATTAAAACAGTCAATCAGGCGCCCCTATAGCTCACCTAGTTGAGCGGGCGACCCATGAACAGGGGCTGTAGTTCCCCGACGTGGTGGTCGTGGGTTCAACTCACGACCCTTCGCTGCAGGTCTCTTCTTGTTCTTCTCCCCCGTTTCCTGTCTGTCTCTACTGCTCTAAATAAAGGCAAAAGCCCAAAAAAATACATTCAAAAAAACACTCGGACAAATCACAAACTAACCCACTGTCGCTGTACAATTTCTGTCCGCATACAAACGTGTATGTCTACACTTAACTGTAAAGTCCAGGTGACAGTATATAGAGGTTTTTGCTACTCAGACTCTGTCTCTAAAGAACTGCGTGGAAGTCCTTTTAGCACACAGTGTCCAAAGTTTAGTGCTTCAAAAGTAATTGCAGAGATAGACATAAAATTAGACCAAATCATCATTTTCAATTTTGTGTGCAAAGAAGTCTCCCAGGCCATAAATGCAGCCACTTTCAGCTGTTTTAGAGTCTCTGTGTCTTAAGTTGGATCTCTATCAAGTAAAATGCAAGTCAGTAACATTAATATCATGTGACTGACAAGCCAGTGGATGATATTACTCCTATAATCTGTATATGAAGATAGATTTAGCAAGGAATGTTGTTGGCTTAGATTAGTATTGTACTGAAAGAGAATGACTTTATAGTTGACACTTCTGGTTGGAAGGCAGGTCTTTCCAAATATGGGATGTGGAGTGGAGAGAGGGAGTGACACTTGAAACCTGATTACATCCTTTAAACTAACTGAAGAACAAGCCATAATTACCATGAAGTCACAACTGATTAAAGGAAGCGAACAAACAGCCAAACTGTCTGTGGACAATGCATTGCCTATTCCACCAACAAGTGACAAGGACATATTTATTATAACACAACTGAATCAAAACAGTGTGTACGCAAATCAAATTGACAGACAACTCCAGTTTAATCTGCGTTGAAACTCTCAATTCTGAACCACATGATAACTCTTTCGTGCTGACATTGAAACGACACAGGAACATTTAGATGTCAAGCGTCCAATTACGAAGCACAGATCCTGTTGGACAAAATGATGTGGTCTGGACTGTACGTTATATGGTTTCAGTGTTCCGCTAGTGTTATTTATATCACCGTAAGCTTTTGTCTCTCCTTTCCTTTGTGTACCTCTTTCTCGTAGCCGTCCCCAGCAGACATCATGGAGCTCCAGGCGGTGTTGATGGCGGCTGGTGGGGGTTCTCGTATGACCGATCTGACATACAACACCCCCAAACCTATGCTGCCTGTTGGAAACAAGCCCCTTATGTGGTATCCCCTTAACCTGTTGGAGAGGGTGGGATTTGAAGGTGAGAACTTAAGGTTTTGTTATAATCGCAACAGTATTTCTTCTTTATCTATCCCTTCAGATACCACTGCTACACCTGCCGCAATTACTGCCCCCGCTATTCCTGAACATTATGAGTAGAATTATTCATGTTGTTAGTATACGTAAGAATAATTTCACTAAAAATACTCTGCAGTAAAGGTCCCATGTTATGAAATGTCCTACATGTCCTCCAATTGTGTCTTTCCGTGGCCCTAAAGGGACTGCTGGTTAACATGGAGTCTTAATGGGCTGTGTTTTAATATTTCATACAAGTTTTGTTGTCTGACAACAGAAACAGAATAATATGTATGAGAACAGCTTTATTTGAAATCCAGCTGTATTAAAATTTAGTATATGTGAGCACAGAGAGCAGGAGAGAAATATTAAAAAATCACTGCATTGCGATTCGGTTATATATCACGTTGTGGTTATTCAGATGCATACAGACTTTTGTGTTCACTCCTGCAGCTAATAGTAGAACCCTAAGTGTGCTTTCCTTGTGGCTGAGACGATTTAGAGTTAACAGAAGCTGCGTTTAGAAAGTAAATAAACCTGGTGGACTGTGAGGCAGCTGCTCGGTCTTTATGGCTCACCTCACAAGCAGTGGGGACAGGATTAGAATAAATATCTGCAACTATTGGTTCCTCAGTTTCTACTTAAAACCTGCGTGTATTTCTGACTGGCTTGTTAAGCGAGGAGACCATCTAGTTGAGGCGGGGGGCCTTGAGGAATGGCAGTTGTAACCGTCCTCTCATTCTCTCAGCTTTTATTTTACACCTCCAAGTTTTTTAAGACATGCAAAACACAATAAAAATGAACATTCACCACGCGGGAGCTTTAAAAATTACGCCACACTTACAGATTTATACAGGTGTTTGATTTGTTTGGCCACCTCTCAGTTCTGTTTTAGGCTTGACCGACATCTCCCCCACTCTGGCCTTAGTTTTATTGCACCTTTTAGTGTCTTAATTGACCTTGAATTTGAAGTTCAACCCATCTTTAGCCTGATCTAATTAGCCACAATAAAGGAAAGCACCTGTGTTCCATACCGGGCCTTAAATATACACAAGCTGAAGAGAGAATATTCTGCCAGCCGATACTGTAACATTTCCTCCACTTTTACATCTTCACACAAATTGGATGTGATGGCAGCGGCAGCATGGGAGCTGCGTGCCCTCCGTCGACACTGTGTCAGCAGTAGGGGTGAGAAGTGTTAAAGGGAGCCACAGACAGTCTTGGTTTCCACATAAAATGTAAAGAAGCAAAAAATGCAGCCAAAAAAGTTTATGTGGTCCACTTGGAAAACCTGGGACAAAAAAAAGTGTGCAAGCTTCATTTTAGCGGTAATGTGGAAAAAGAAGAAAAGTAAAGGTCAGGATTAAAGAGATGAAACGACTGGAACAAAAACGGATCTGAGCTGATCTTCCTGAAAGTATTAAAACTGAGAGTAATATTCCTGCTAGTATTAAATGAACGTATTGTTATATTTGATCATTTTGCTGAGCGTGTTCAGAGGAGCTCATATAGACTGTAGTATTTTGGCTGCTGTAATAGTTAATTCAACTTTGGTGCAAGGCTGGTGGAAGTTCCTTTTTCTACTCTGCTTGACAGTTTTGCTTTTTCTTAACTTAAAAAATCAAACTTGCAAATTGTCCCTAGCACCACTGGGATGGTCATTTTGCTGCATTAATTGTAAGTCTTCCCATATTACTTTCTCCAGCTTGTGAGCACATTATCAGCCATTGTCAGGTGTGCATTTCCTGTCAAAATTAACAGGCCAGATTTCTGACTTTTGTGCTGCAGCATGCAGTGTGTCCAGAAACACTGGGCTTATAAAGGGAGTTTTTTTTTGCAGTGTGCTGTTCTTGCCTGTAAACTGGACTGTTCGTTATAAGAGCCTGTAGTTCCTCACTAGTCTAAATAAAAGTTGCTTTCTATACATAATCGTCATGTGTGGCCAGCAGTTTACTGTGTGCAGCCTGCTAGCCAAAGCTGTGCAATTAGATTTTACTAGGCTGACACAGCTAGAGTGAACAAATGCCCGGTAAAAAAACATTTTATGCAGACAAGGCTAATTAAACCAGACGGACGCTGCAATGTTTTAGATTCATAAAGTAGTGCAGTAATGCTGCTACCAACTTTATAAAAGGCAGAGCAGTCGTCCTAGCTTGACTCGAAGTTCACAATGTGTAATGGCCGAGTAAACATCTCATGTGGCTCGTCTCCTTTTTCTAAGTATAGGTTCATCTCATTGATACTGAAGTTTTCTTTAAATGTGTTTGTAGAGGTCATAGTGATCACCACTAAAGAGGTCCAGAAGATGATGAGCACAGACCCGAAAATGAAGGTGGATGTGAAGATGAAACTGGATGTGGTTTGCATCCAGGAGGACGGCGACATGGGTACCGCCGATGCTCTCAGACACATCCAGCAGAAGATCAAGGTGTGTGCATTTCTGCATTGTATGCATTGTATGTCGACTCCAGTTTTCACAGATTGTAGGTGGAAAATACATCTAGACACACCAACAGACATCTGAATGAATTAATGAAAAGATGGCAGCTTGGGCGCCACAATAGCTCACCTGGTTGAACACAGTCCCCGATGCAGCGGCCATGGGTTCGAGTCCCGCTCATGGCCCTTTGCTGCAGGTCCTTCCTCCATTCTTCTCCCCCCAGTTCCCTGTCTCTCTCTATGTCCTATCTAATCAAAGGCCAAAACAATATCTTTGAAAAAGAAAAGATGACAACTGTTCAAGCTATTTACTTTATATAATCTCTAATGTGAGCAAGATGACATGGTCCAGTTGTTTGAATTGAAAGCTGTTGAGATCTAATAGTTGCTTTTCAAATGTAATAGAAGGGTTGAGCCAAATCATGCTTGACATACTCACCAATACTGGTCACCACTAGCTTCCATATTTAAAAGAAAAAAAATGCAATAAGGTTGGAGGTAGAGGGAAAAAAATGACACAGATTGCAGGGGAAGTTTTTGCGGGTATGTGTACTGCTGGGTGACCACTGATCCATGTCTTTCCCTCTCTCCCCCGGATGGCCAAGGCTGCCGAAGTGCCTCATTTCACCTTTTTAAAATACACACAAACATTCACGGTCACACAAACTTACACATGCTGTCCTGGTATCCATGACCCCCCAACTCCAATTTCCAGACCCCCTCTGCATCCTGCCCGCTGATCCCTCCTTCCCTCCCTTCATCCGATTCACTCTAAACAGATGAGGTCATGGTTAAGACTCTAACTGCCTGTGCTGCCAGTTTACCCGGTGCACCATTTATTCTCATGCAGTAGTCGTGCACATCTGTGCAACATTTGTGTTTGGGTATGTTGGGGTGTATGGTGTCCCTCTGTATATGCCATGGGTCTGACTGGCCTCCTGTGACCATGAAGACATGTTTGCATGAGGCTTTGTGTAATTTAGAACTGCTGATGTATTTCAAAAGCAATTACCCTTGTTTATTTTTTGTCTATCAGTGATTGTCACATAGTTGGAAGGTTGGCGATACCGATTTAGGAATCGTAATTATTATCTCCTGCAATTCTGAACTAGTTTGCCAATTTAAAAAACCACAACAAAACTGTATGTTAAGTACAAGATATTGAGCAAGCAAAAAAGACAAACCGGTGATGCTATGCACGAAGTAAAATTGATTCAGACTTTCCAAATCTTTAAAGAAGGTAATCCCTTGGGTTTTGTTATTTAATCATCTTTTAGGGAATTAGCTTGAAATGACTCATACAGCGTAAAGGTTTTTTTTTTCAGGCTGTCAACACAGTAAGGATTTGCAGTATTGTTATATGAAACATCACTGGCATGTAGGGTTGGGCAATATGTTCAAACTTTCCAACCGGCCACCATCAGCGCAATAACGACGGGTGATAGATTTGCAGAGATGTCTTGACACGAGTGTTTCCCATACTATGGTTTATTTGTGGCCACAGTATCAACGCTGACCACCTCGTATAGTTGTTTTATTTAAAACGGGGTAGATCTTGTTTAATTGCAGGGTTGCATGCTGCTCTCCCCCTTCGTTCCCTCCCTTTTTCTCAGAATCACACTGACACTGGTTCGCTCTATGGAACTATCACTCCTCTCCACACTCTGATCAAAACGTTGCTCGATTGTTGGCTTTTTCCAGCAGGACAAAATCAATCCAGAGTTCACCAAAGGTTGGCATCATGAGCAACTCTGAACAGAGAAGTAACTCTTCTTAACACTGTTACAACTCTTCATTTAAGTTCTTATAAACATGTAAGGAGCCTTATTGCCTTTCCAGATCTGTGGCTGTCAACCGTAGCAGGAGGACCTCTGGTTTTAGGCTTAGCTTTTTTTTCTTTACTGCCTCACAGCTGCTACCTAGCCTTTATGTTTGAGTCGACTCTGCAGTGATGAGGAAACTGAATAATGTTGATCAAGACGTGAACATCCACCGAAAAAAAAAATCCTGTGTTTGAATGTGCGTTGTGGATTCTTTTGTGGAATGTACACTTGTTAAAAACCCGTTTTTGGCAGTCATGATGCAGTCCTCAGGTACATGCAAGCATTCGTTTTTTAAAAATTTCTATTATTGTATTGTGATCCCAAGTATGGCTGCACAATATATCATTTCGGCATCAACGCTGGGATGTGTGCGGTTGAATACACATAGGTATAGAAGTAAAGGGGAATGATCCCAGATACACAGGCTACAACTTTTCCTACTGCTTGATGCAAAACAAAACTTATGCTCTTCTCATTTTGGATGACTGTCTGTCTGATATCCCATAATTTACTTTCAGGGTTGTTGAGTTTTTTTGAAACTTTATTTGAAGAACTCTTGAGTTTGTTGACACGGAGGCTGTACATGAGCAAAACGATCAAAACAGCGAATGGCAACTCTGACGAGGAAATTTGGTTGCAAAAGGAAACGCCACATCAACAGTATGGAAATATTTCGGATACAGAAAGAATGATGTTGACCAAAATCAGACACTCTGTCAGCCTCGTCTTGTAATTGTTGCTACCACACCAAGAAACCAAACTAAATTGACCCTTTAAATCAGCACCACAAAGCTCTGCATGACGAGCGCAAAGCCAGATCTGAATGCCATCCAGAGCAAAAAAAATATTTTGCCTTTGCCAGAGTCATTCGCCATCAAATGAGAAAGGCTCTGCAAAGCTTTTTAAACAGTTGGAGATGCACTTCTGTTAAAAAAAAATCACCACAATCATTCTAGAAAGATTAATTCTTTTCAAATATATCACAGAACAACAAAATTTTTCAATGCCAGTTTTTTTTATTTTTTTTTACCAACGTCATCCAGCCCTAATCCCTAAAATAAAAAATTAATGAAAACATTCCGAGGGATTCCCAATCCCAACAGTGTCTGATCGACACCCACCCTGCTTAGAGTGTACCACATCAAACGTAAATCTGGAAACACAAGTGCCCTGACATTTATTTCATGCTTCGCGACAAAATCAATCGGCTTCGCTTTTGAAAATTATTTAATCAAATGCCAATTTTTTTTTTTGCAGTTTAATGTTTTTCCTGTGGTGATTGAATAGGTCTGTACAGATTCTTGGTCATCTCATTGCTAAAGATTTCTTTAATAGACGCTTGTTACGTATTCACACACTTAAACGCGACCAGCTCCAGCATGCTTCCATTGAGAATCGCTGAGTTCCTAATCCTTTGAGCAGTCAGCTAGATTAGAGGCATTGAGTTACACACACTCACACACTGCAGGGTGATGAGTGAAAAACCGTAACCATGGCCTGCCAAATCCCAGCACGGAGATCACTCAATCTGTCAAACTGATGCATGAGCACAGTATAGACACACACATACTCAGTCATGTCTTTACGCAAACACCCTTCCATGAGGGGATTTGGTGTAACCCATCAAACAAAATACTTTGCAGGAATCAGTGTACACTCTGGGTGAGCAGAGTAGGGCATTCCTCTTGATTTTTGAAAGGAGAGATTACGAGCAGCGTATTTTATTTTGTTCACTCTTCAAACAGCGAAGTCGCACAAAAGTGGACGGATATGCCGATTAATGCTTTGGTCTTTCACAATAAGCCAAACTAGTGAAAGGAGTACTTTGCATGCAGTTTTTGCTTTGTACGGCTAAAACCTCTTTGACATTTCCATTATCGTTAAGGCTTAATCGCCTGGCAAAATGAGGTATATGGGCGAAAAGAAATATACGAAGCCGCTGATTCAAAGGTTCACCTTTTGTCTATATGTGTTAGTCAGCTTGTAAGACTCCAGACAAAAGGTGAGGAAAGAGAGGAGTGAGGGATGGGGCCGAGGCTGCATGAAAGGTACACGGCAAACAAACTCAGATTAGTGCCTTTATTTCTTTCCCTCTTTTTAGTCCTATTCTGCATCCCCAATCCATCTGTCTCCCCCCCTCTTTTCTGTGACCTACCTAAGTTCAAACTCTAAAGAACCTTAGGTTAAGATAAGACAAGGTTTAGACTGTGATAAAAAGTGGCTCATATCACTTTTAGCCCAGAGTGACCTGAAAAATGTCCAGATGGTCTTCAAGACTTCTGAACCTACAATGACTTTTCTGCCCATGTCTGACGGCTCAGTCATGCATAAATTAATCATCTAAATTTTAAATTATTAAAGAAGCTTGCCGTTAATCACAATCAATCAGACGGTAGCTGGTGTTAGTGAACAACCAATGGAGGAAAAACATGAGAATCATCTGTTGCTTTGGTGAGCCACATCGATCCAGTGAATAGGAATCATCTAGAAACACATTATTCTGTTATTGTTAAATATCCACGAGTGAGTGTAACAGTCAGTATGTAAAACCATCGAGAGAAATCTGATCATATGTTGTTTTGAATCCAAGCAAAAAGCTGATGGTTGCAGATTTTAAATAAGAGGATTCACTGCTTTTCCTCATCTTACTTTACAGTCGACTGATTATCTTTCAGTTTGAACTCTTCAAGACAAAAAAAAGTAATTCGATTCTTGAATTCTTTTCTTTTTTGCACAAAATCCTTGAGGACGGGGTTGTGAACGGCAGAAATGCACCAACTGAAAAGACCAAAATGTGCCACGTAGCGTCTGCTCACATTATTTACTGATGGTAAAAACAAAAGCTGGGGAAAAGAAATCTTGACACATAAAAATAAAATGTTCCTGAAGCTGGTCAACACTTTGTCAGCAGCAGTTTTGGATTGAAGTCAGCTACCACTGGGACAACTGTGTGTCTGTGTGTGTGTGTGTGCGTCAGTGTGTGTGGTCCTGACCTGTCCAGTGATCCTGGCTGTTGAAAGGCCAAAGTGTCTCTGTCTCTCCAGCTGACTCCACTCTGCTGTCGCCTCCGAGTGTGTGTGCATGTGTGGACTCCGCACGCACGTTTTCTGTCCATTCATGTGTGTGTGTCCGTGTGTGTGTGTGTGTCCGTGCACGCTCTGTTTCTGAACATGTGTGCGAGCTTGTCAGCGTGATAGAGGGAGAAGAGAGTTGAAAGATCTCAGAGTCTCCGTGTCAGTAGATCTCCTGCAGACACCTCCAGCTTTGCTGCGGCAGCTTCCTGTCGCCAGACCAGGTTATGATTGGAGTTAAATCTGGGTCAACTACATGACCCTTGATCCAGCTGATACCACCCCTGCACACACACACATTCTCAAAGAACAGAAATGCACTCACCTCTTTAACATTCAGCATTATAAGCAAATGCAAGCGAGCCTTTCAGTTCTTTGTAGCTTTGCCAAATGTTAATACTCATTATTCCTTCTGAACCCAAAGCTCCATGTGGGCGGCTTTTGACTCCTGTCACATTTTTTGCTTAATGTGAGCTCAGTTTTCGCTGCAATATGAAGCCCGTCACCTCTATGGAAACAGCAAAGCCATGCCTAGAAATAGAGAGATCTGCAGTTGGATGTCTTTTATTATTTATTTTACAAAAATTTAAAAACCTGGTATTAACATGTACGACATTTTTCCGAGTGCCCAGAGATGTTTCCAACACTGGAAAAAAAAAAAAAAGGTAGCTCTACATAAAACAGATATTTTGCTACTTACATTTTAAAGTTTGTTTCCATCCTCGTCTGCTCTCTAAAGTTCAGCACATTTCAGCTGAAAAGTCTGAATTTTTCTGTCATTTGACCGTTAGTTGTAACAAAGTCGGTAATGGCTTCCCGGTTACCCCGTGGATCACTGACTTCTTTCTATTTTTTTCCTTCTTTTTATGGTGATTTTTGAAATGAGACATGATGATTTTTAGCTTAAATTTGGTTGTTTTCCCCCCAAAAAACCAAAGTCCCACATGAATACTTCAAGGACTGTCAGATAGTTAAACATCTTAGAATTTTTCCCTTTTTTACAGTTTCTGGCTCTGATTAACGGTGTCGTTTGGGTGGTTTCTTTTTTAAATTATCATCTCACAGCGCTTCACACAGTAGGTGAAGACCTTCTGGATTTAAACAGAACCCTCTGATAAAAATACCATACCTATCAAACGTGGCGAGAAGTTTCGGAGTTTAGAAGATTTAAAGGGCCAGTGTGTAAGATTTAGTGGCCTCTAGAGGTGAAGTTGCAGATTACAGCTAACTACATACTCCTTCCTTACGCCTGTATTTAGTAGAAGAAGCTATAGTTTTGCCACTTGGATGTAAAATCTCAAAAGAGCCTTTTGTAGAGCTAGTCTTGGCGTTTGGCCATGCTAGGCCACTATAGCCACGGTGGTGCAACATGGTGGGCACCATCGAGCAAGACTCTATGGAGTCATGAAGGGAACGGAAACACATCGATGCATAGATACAGGATACAGGTGATCACATATTAAGGCTAAAACTATCATCAGCAAACGTCCATGATGTGTCGTAATTTTTTGTTTTGATAAGCTGACATTTGAGCCTTATAGATACACATTAGTAATTATATTAGTATCAGCTCTGATTGTCTCTACTTGTGGTGCCCGTGTCAACCTGATGGCAGCTGATTTTACATATCCGTGGTAAATTACAGTTGAACTGGTTGGTTAAAAAAAAAGACTCTCACAGTCGGGTCTACCATTAAAGTTGCAGAGGACTTTGTGATCGAGAACAGAAGGTGCACAGGCAGGCCCAGAAAGCCCAGCAGCAGATTGGACGATACTTTTGTGAATAATAGAGAAGCAGCAGGAAGTATTGCCTCAGAGATCAGCAGTAATTACAAGATGCAACCCGGCTTACGAGCCATTCAAAATAGGTTCCACAAGAATAGGATTAAATTTGACGAAGAACATGCACAGAAAGGCCGCCGCGAGCTATTTTTCTACAGGACCGAATTTAAGCTGCGCGGATTCGACAGTAGAGCGTTTGTGTGGAGAAAGTCGGAGAGAGAATGTCAACCAGGCGGCCATGCTCGGGGTACAGTCAAGCATGGAGGCGGGAACATCAAAGTCAAGGCTGTTTTTCTTACAGTTGTAAAGTAGAGGAACTTGGCTTGCAAATCAGCCCAAATACTTTTATCTTTTTTCACTCTTTTCTTTCAATTACAGTTGCAGCTTCTTCGCTTTTGTTCTTTTAGACTTATTTAGTCCCGCTTCTCTCAGCCTTTCCTTTCCGTCACAAACATAGTGAAGATGTCTCTGTCACTGAGGCTGCTGGTGCTAATGGTGGGATTAGTTCCTACGCTGACAGCCTTCAACGCTGGACAGACAGATGGATACTGCACACAGACTCGCAAATGTGGGCGCACCCACATGTAAACACACACGCAGACACGTAACGTCGGCGGAGGCCAGTTAAAAAAGACTGATGTAGGATTTGCTCTTCGTACTGTTGGTGGAAGAGCAAGCGATATGTCAACCGGAATGCTAAAGCTGTGCATTTATGCGCCGTTTAAAACCCATATTTCCTTTACACGTTGTTAAATAGCTGAAATACTAACAGTACTTAAAGATGATATATGTAGAAAATAATCTGTGGGAAACTCCAAACGAATATTCTCTCTCTTTTTTTAACAAATGATGTATTCTTTCAAGCAACCAAAGAGTCTTGTTTTCTTTGGGTCCATGTGATGTTTGAGCTGTGCTGTTTTTGGATGAGTTCGCAGGAAGGTTCTCGAGTCCAGCCAGCCTCGCTCATTGTTCTGGGTAAAAGTTTAAAAAAAAGTTACGTGATATTGTGTCAGGAGCATGGTACCGTGAAAATATAATGGAAACACGAGCCCGGCTTGGAAATAAACACATTTGGATGTAAACACAGGATAGAGGTTATCTTCATTTATTTTAGCCACTTATTTTGTCAGAGATATGATCGCTCACAGAAGCTGAAAAGTAAACACGATGGATGTGCCATTTGGCAAGCTCTTAAATGGTGCTTAAAACAATAAATGGAAAATTACGATAGTGCAAAAGAGCTCAGCGGAATATGAAGTACATTTTGTAAACGGGCTGCTGTTTCCTCCCACAGGTTCCTCGAACATTTACAGACCCTGGTAACTTTTGTTGAAACTTTCTAGGAAAAATATATATTATCCATCCATCCATTATCTATACACCGCTTCATCCTCACTAGGGGGGCTGGAGTCTATCCCAGCTGACTCAGGGTGAAGGCAGGGGACACCCTGGACAGGTCACCAGCCTATCACAGGGCTACACTTAGAGACAGACAACCAAGCACACTCACATTCACACCTACGGACAATTTAGAATCACCAATTAACCTCAACATGTTTTTGGACTGTGTGGGAGGAAGACGGAGAACCCGGAGAGAACCCACGCTGCACGAGGAGAACATGCAAACTCCACGCAGAGAGATCCAGGGTGTCCTCACCGGGACACGAACCGGCGACCTTCTTGCTGCAACGGTGCTAGCCACTGCCCCACCTTATTATGACATACTATATATCATTGTACACAATATTAGGAACATACAGGTGCAGGGAATTAATTAGAGGTTCCACCATTTAATTCTACCTGTGTGTGTACTTGCAGTGAGCTTTCTGATTAGTGCAGCTAGTTTTCACACCCATCAGCTGTTCATGCGTTGTGATAATGTTATAACAGTGGCCTGCAGCAGAAAAGACAGTTCAGCACGGAGTCTTATATAAGCCAGCTTTCCAGGGAGTTCACTCAGTAATGAATGTGTTGCCACTTTGTAATGTAATATATGTTGACTGTGTCTCAGTAATGTCGCAACTTGTAGTTTTCCGCTCTTCCATTGTATAGAGTGTTCTAATGTTACTGAACATACATATAGAAATTGTTATGCAGCTAAAGGATGTAAGGGGTGCTGATATTTGAATAAATTTTAATAAAGCATGCTCCAACAACAGAATTGCAGGATTTAGTACAGAAGGTCATCTGAGTTTAAATCACTTTACCACTGAAACAGTGTCATCACATGTATATTCTACATGCATGTTGAGATGATTCTTTTTCTGAACTTCACTTGCACTGCGGACTATTTTTGCGTCTTTGTGGCCTTTTATGTAGATGTACAGGTGACATTAGGAATATCTTTGCATCTACAGAAGGTGGACATTGTGAGTTCAAGTGTGAAAGCTTTCTTTTAAAGCCTGAAATCTCTATACCCGGTGAATCACATCTTATCCACTGGGTTGCAGAAATTCTGTCACATCTTACTAGCAGCAGCAAAATACATAAACTGGCTTCACAGTCTTTTTCCTTCTGACTTCTCTCCTCAGACGGACATCCTGGTGGTGAGCTGTGACCTGATCACAGACGTGGCGCTTCACGAGGTGGTTGATTTGTTCAGGGCCCACAATGCAACGCTGGCCATGCTAATGAGCAAGACCCATGAATTCACAGAGACAGTCCCAGGCCAGAAGGGCAAGAAGAAGACAGGTAACTGGAAGATAAATCAATATCTGGGAGGAGATTACCATGAATCTCTCATGCATTTTTAATACATTTCTATGCGACTGTTAATCTGTACAAACATTAATAACGGAAGCTCTTTTTTATAAATGACATCTGCAGTGAAGAAAATGGCCGAAATTGGTACATACTATTCTGTTAACGATGTGTTTTTTTTCCCAGCTGAGCAGAGGGACTTTGTTGGAGTGGATCAGTCAGGGAAGAGGCTGCTCTTCATGGCCAATGAGGCAGATCTGGAGGACGGCCTGTCAGTTAGGAAGTCCATCATGCGGAAGTAAGTCTAAGAAAAGCTTATGCTAAATGTTGCTGCACCTTCAATCATTTATTCCTAAAAAAAAATGGAAGAGAGCATGAAAATAAAACATAATACTGTTTGTTGTTCAAATGCTCAATGATGGAGTCGTTTCTGTGTTCATTCCAAACTTGGGTTCTTTTTTCCCTTGTTTTTTTAGCTCCTGTTAGCAATTCCACCAGTTAAAATGAGTGCATTTTGCTATCCAAAGCTAATTACTGTTAATTCTTTAAGTCGCTCGACCCACACAGAATGTTGTTTATGATAAATAGATTCTGTACATCTGTAGTTAGCCTCGGTAGAGCAAATGTTTAGGTTTCTAACGTGTTTTAGAGTGAAAGGCTCTGTGGTGGGCGTGTGAGATTTTTGTTGCAGGAAGAGTACTCTAGGTCTTTTCGTTTCTGGGTCCTAAAATGCATGTATGTGTGAGAGCGGGTGTTTTGGGAGCTCGTAAATACTTCATGGAGCCAAAGCCACTGTAAATTCTGGCCAATAAGAGGGGGGCCAGAGCAGCTGCTCGCATGCTTCCCTGCACAGGGAACTCTTGAGCCACACACACACACACACATTTATACATATATGTGCACACATTTTGTCTTTTTTTTTTTTTCACAAACACAGAAACTCTTATACGAGCACACACAGGAACACGTAACAAAACCTCGAGGCTGACATTGATGGAGAGAAAACAGTCACACATTGTCACAGTGTTATGGAAACACATTGAGGCCATAGCTAAACATTTATGGCTTACAGTGAAAGACTTACAGCTTTCGAATCACCTCTGATCATTTATACGCTCTCATGTCACACAAGCACACGAAACAGATATAAAAATAAAAAAAAAAACCTCTCTACGTGCGGTATTTATTGCCAAAGGTTGCAACAGAAGAAATCTGGGTTTCTGTAGGTCTCCTTAGGTAGTTTTACAAGGATCGGATTGTTTTGAGCATCAGTAGCATCCAGTCAGAAGGCACAGCTTACACATACACTCCTTACTTTGTGATGCATTTTAAATGTGCACATTAAGCCTCATTTGTTAAACATTTAGACACAGAAATATTTACAACCACAACTTGAGTATTTTTGTGTGCACGCTCTGATTATGTGGCACCTCTTTAGTTTCTTGCATGCATCCTTTGTTTTGTTTTTTTTCATAAATGTGTCTGTTTAAATTGGCATTTCCTCTTCATTCATTATTTCAACCATCTCTCCCGAGCAGCCCTCCGCACAGCCGTCCATCTGTTCTTTCATCCCTCCATCCTCGTTCAACCTCAACCCCATGTGTAATTTTTTCCCCCCTCTATATGGTTTCCACATGGCTGAGGTGTGTTAGCTCAAAACACTCTGCACATGTGAGATTGTTTGACCTGGAAATCGCTTAAATGGTGTGAAAGGACTCCAGCAGAGATTCCCCTCGTACATTTGCAGCTCCACCTGTCAGAATCTCGCAGACACGGGCTCGAAGAAATGGTCGATTGTGATGATTTTAAAATCGGAATTTTTTGAGATCATAAGAAAGATTCGAGCAAACCAGTTTACTAACTTGGCGTTTGTATGTTTTGAAGTTGAAACCATCGTAAAGGCAGCAATAATGTGCAGCTGAGGAAGCCTAGATGAGATTTTTTTTGGGGGGGACATGCAGTGACCTTTGAGATATCGAACCAGGAGTTTGTTGCATCTGTTTGCAATGATGGCACATGACGGTGTGGCTAAAACCCAAGCAACACAAACACAACAGGATATACATTCCAAAGATTAAATTGCTTCAAGAGCATTGGTGCAATAACACATTTCAAACCATTTTGCTGCAGAAATAGTTCTTATTCATCACTCTATATGTAAGAAACACCATCAATATGAGCTACTCATGTCTACATAGATTGCAAACATAAAGGAAAAAGTTAGTAATCGGTGTCTTTTGTGTATTGGCTCATTCACAAGTCCTTTTATGTATTTGGTTTATTTGACTTATGGACTTTTGTTCGCTTACTGGCTCTTATGTGAGTGCTTCTCAATGATTTGGCAGACTTGGAAGCTAAAATCGCTGGCATATGTGGCAGCCTGATTTTCATTTCTCTTCAGTTTGGGATTGTTTGTCGAAAATGCAGTGGAAATGCCCTGGGCTCAGGGAAACTGTGATGGGATATTTTTATTTTCTGACATTTTTTTACAAACAATAAACATACGCTTGTGTCCAGGATAACTCTATGATCTCACGTACCGAGTGTGAGCGCGCGTGACGATCAGCAGTAGCCGGATTTCACCGACAGGGCCGCGAGCACCTCCGGCTCCAAACGCAGGTTCGCAGATGTGAGTCAGCTCAATTAAGAAAGCACTATTCGATTAGCGTGGCATTAAGGGAATCACACGAATTTTGTTTTGGAGGCAGTAGTTTGAATGCCCTAAAAGAGTCGTAAGCCCTTCAGCCCCGTTGGCTCTGAAGTGAAAACCTGACTAATGAGGGTATTAACAGTCATTCTGCTGCCTCTGACTCATCGTCCGCTGTGGGGTTTTAGTTGTAACTAAATAAGACATTATGCAGTGTGTGTGTTTGAGAGCGAGAGAGATGTGACTCCTCTCTCTCCCACCGAGGACTTTAGTGGTACTTTAGTAGTCAGCCATTAATCCAAGGGTTGAGTCATCCTTGCCTGCAGAGGCACTAAATTCCTGCTCCCCTCGACACCGAACTATACAGCACTCGCAGCAACCAGAAATCACATGGCGCTGCCGTGAGGAAAGGCAAGATGTTTACCTTTGTTTGGGAAATACGAGTTGTTTGTTGTAGGTGGATTCTCCAAAAAGTACAAGGAGGGAAAAGAATCGAATATTTGAAATATAGTAGATATGTTTTGGCTTTAGACCCTGATTTGTTCAGCCGTTATGATTGAAGGTAGCACTGGGTTGAGAGTGCTCACTGATACTGTACCTACCATACTGTACAAATCCTCTATTCCTTTACTTTTTTGGGGGCACCTGTTCCTGCTCTATGCACACACACACACACACACACACACACACACTCTCTTCTTGCCATAAGCCAGTTATCCAAGGCTCTGCCTCCTGCCCGCCTGCAGGTGCCAAACGGTGATGTCACATGCTGGGTGTTCCCATAAATTTCACTTTATGCCCATGATACACACACAGAGGCATACACCTGGGATATGTTGTGTGAATAAATACATTTGACAAACACCCACAGAGCATGTCTGTGTGTGTGCGCGCGAACATGTGTTTTTATGCTTTTGAATAAAATACCTTAACACAGACGAACACACACTCAGTTTGATTTATGGCTTTCAGCATCTGGTTGTAAAATATGTGTGACCAAGCAATCCTCCTGAGTCGCTTCTACGTATGCGGCGAGCCCGGAGAGGAGAGAGTTAAAGGAGGGGAAGCGAGAAAGCTGGAAAAATTGAAGGGAAGGATTTTTGATGACAGCGAGGAGGAGGAAGACAGGTAAAGGAAGGGATTCATTAAATTCCCATTCAGTTCCCATGCCATTTCTAATATCCTGTCCTCGGTCACTGCAGTTATTTTCCTTGCCATTGTGTTATTAATGATTTCTAAATGCCAGTCTTGTATGTCAGTTGCATGCATAAAGGCAAAAAAATGAAACAACTCCACCCAGTTTTATCTGAGAAAAAAAGCATTTTGCATTTACAAAAAAATGTCACCAACTTTCACAAATGCTCCTGAAAGCTACATAGTCCAGGTTAACCAGAGCTGCAGATCAAAACCATCAACAGGAGGAATAATATCGGGAAGAGTTGATTTTTATAAAACATCAGATAGGGAAATATATTTTGGGATACCAGTGTTTATCTTTCCAGTGGAGTTTCAGAGACTTGTGGCCCTACTCCTCACTAAGAGACTTTTTCCTCTTTCAATTTTTCTGACATTTCTCTCTCTTTTTTTTTTTGCATATTTGAACGACTAACACAGCTCTGAATGAAACTAGAGCATGCAAGAAGTAGTGTTAGTGTGACTTTCTTGTTGGCATGAATGCTTTGGTAACAACCACTTCCAGGGTGGATTTTTCTAATTACCATTAGTTTTCTATTCCTTTAGTGTGGAATAATAAATCAGATCTAAACACCACTGTGAACAGTGAACACTGTGTCTGCTTCTAATTTTGTCAAAGTTATGGTATTGTTGTGTGATAATGAGACACAGACTCCGATGTGCTTTTCCAGCTTTAAAAACCTAAATCACTGCAGCACGCTTTGCAAAAGGGGGGTTAGCAGTAATGGAAGGTATATGCGATTTGTAGTAAATGGACTAAAACATGTACGAGCTGGTGTGTGACTTTCAGGAACGATGCACCCCGCGGTTTTTATGATGTAATGATTGAAAGGATAAAGGAAGAGGAGGATAGGTAGTAGGAGAGGATGAAGGGGTGAGGATGGATTTGTTTATTGAAACCTGAAGGATGACATGGTTTTCTTTGGCTCTCGCTTCATAAATGTCACGTTCAAACCCGGGCCACTGTGTCTCCGTTATGTGAATGAGTGGGTGGGTGTCTGTGTGTGCATGTGGCCCCCCAGTCGACATAAACCTGTCTCGCTGGCAGCTGTCTGATGGCAGCAGCTCTGTGGGGCGACATCTATGGTAGCTGACAGAGGACAATAGACAGATGTCGCTATTCTCTGGCTTTTATGTACGCTTATGGCCGTTTCTGGTTTTCCATCAGATGCTCCTGTCTCATGTGAAAAGGGGGAGGGAAAATTAAACGTGGTTTCAGTAAAAGAGAAGCTTTACGTAAAGCATAAAAGCAGCAGGTGATGAGAGGAATCAAAGTGAATTGCTCCCCAGGTAGCAGCCTGGGTTAAGCTGCTGAAAGTGGTGCATGTATACGGTGTGGTGAGATTCCACAAAGGGATGTAATCTGATGTGTTCCTTGTGTGTTTATACTGTATATATATAAAATATACTGAGACAAATCCTGTGTTTTTTGTTTGTGTGTGTTTTGGTAAAGCAAGATAATGTAATCAGGCTGTACATTGACCTCTGTCTATGCATGTGACTGTCTGTTTCTGTCTTTTACCTGCAGACATCCCAGGATGCACATCAAGACAGGCCTAGTGGACGCTCATCTCTATTGTCTGAAAAAAGCAGTGGTGGACTTTCTCACAGAAAACAAGTGAGTTCTTCACTGATGTTTGACTGTAAATGCATTAACTGGTTAATAGCATTTTATTTATTACATCTAAGTTAACAGTTTGTTTGCACTTTTGCAAATTTAGGAACTAAAGGTTTGGATTTTAAAAGAACCACAGGAGTAGCTCAGTACAACAACAGGCAGTCCACCTTTCATTTGGAGAGATATTCTGAGATTCTTCAGAGACAGTTTTTCTCCATTCGCTCTTCGCTTGAGGGGTTGTGTTGTTCTACCTTTGTCTATACAGTACCTCAAAGGGGCTCTATTGGATTCAAATCAAACAACATACTTTGCCAGGTCAAGGTTTTTACTTTTTTTCCTCTTTAGAAATTCTTATGTGATGATGTGTGTTTTTTGGATTATTATCATACAGGAATATTCCTCTTCTGCCAAGCCTCTGCAGTCATCTTGTCAGCCAGTGTTTTGGTTTATCCACAGGCCTTCATATCGTCCACCACACCTATTGCACTCATGCAGCCCCAAATCTTCACACTCCAACTTCTGCTCTTCACTGTCGGTCCCATGCATTCACTGGAGTAGACATGCTGGACAAGCTGAGCACACTTTTTTTTGCAAGCAAGAGTGTTTGTATTGGATAATGTCTATAGAAGCTGATGTTGTGCAGCATCCTTCACATTGTCTCAGCTGTCACCAAGACCACTAAGACAAGTCTGAAGCACTTGCCCAGAGGTAGATTGGGAAAGTAACGCACCGCCTGTGGCGTTGTTTTAAGAGGGCATGATGCAAATTTTGCAGTTGTTTAGCACTGTTGCCTCGCAGCAAGAAGGTTGCCGATTCGCGTCCCGGTGGGGGCACCGGAGTCTTTCTGCGTGGAGTTTGCATGTTCTCCCCGTGCAGCGTGGGTTCTCTCCAGGTTCTCCGGCTTCCTCCCACAAGGTCCAAAAACATGTTGAGGTTAGCTGGTGATTCTAAATTGTCCGTAGGTGTGAATGTGAGTGTGCTTGGTTGTCTGTTTCTGAGTGTGGCCCTGTGATAGACTGGTGACCTGTCCAGGGTGTCCCCTGCCTTCACCCTAAGTCAGCTGGGATAGACTCCAGCCCCCCCGCGACCCTCGTGAGGATGAAGCGGTGTATAGATAATGGATGGATGGATGATGCAAATTTTCACACAGGTCATTTTATAAACATGATCATTCAGTTAGGCTAATCAGAAATCACAGGTGCACTCAATTTCATTTCTATGATCACAGACTTTCTAACTTGTGTGTCGGTGCTTACAGGTGTATTCACTTTTGCTGCATTGAGTTCCTACTCATGGGCTTGTATTTTTTAATTTAGTCTCTCTTAGTATCCATTTTTGATTGTTCATAAGAGGAAGTTGTTGAGGATTTAAATTAATTTCACATTTAAAGGATTTTGCACAGGGATGTACGCGCTTCTGTTGTGTCCCGGCCATTTGAATTTTAGCTCTTCATTTTTTAAAATTTTTTGAAAATGTACCTGTTTATCTCTCCTGTATAAGAGGTGTTTCCTAACAGCGTTCCAATTTGACGTAAAGTACACGCATACGCCCCATCAGTCACATCAACATGAACTCTCCTTCACTGCTTAATCTGGAGCAAGTGTTAAACATGGGTGCATGGTGAGCAAGGCTTTGAAAGGTTGCGTTAGCAGGGTATTCTAGCGAGGTGTTAATTTGTTTTACTATGTGCCACTGAGACAGGCTGTTAGGCCTTTAGCCTCTGAAGTGAAGCAGTGTGACAGGGAGCCTTCTGTGGATGCCTGGAGTCCATATTCCCGGGTCGAGACTGAAAAATGGAAAAAAAAAAGAAAAATCTCCATGGTGTCAGCATGTATTTAGTCTTTTGTAATGAGAGTTGGTGTTAATGTTATCGATGTAATGAGACACCTTGTTATTTGGTTTGAAAACACAGCGGCTCACGGTTCATTACACTTCAGACAAAGTGTGACTGAAAAATTACAACATAAGAACTTTTGTGTTATTCCTCCATAAACACAGAGAGTGTTTGTTAAAAACATGTCAGTTTCACTATTTTTAGTTTCCTAGTCGCACAGTGGAAAATGAATGTGTCCACCTTGTTTTAAAAGCAGAACTTTTCCTCCATAAAAGTAAGATGTATGGATAAAAATAAACATCCTGAACTTGGGTGTGCTCACACTGTAGCTTAGTCATTTCCAGTGGTTCCAGTGCTGCTGCTGCTGGAGTCGTTGTGTTTTTACAATTCAAATCTAATATTCAGAGGACGCGTAAGCCAGAAAATAACTCACTCTGTTTGTCCCAACAAATGTCAATTAAGGATCCCATTCATTACAAGCTTGGCGAAAGACATTTTTAAAAAAAAGTCACTCCTGGCCTTTAGTTGTTGCAATGGTTAGGTTCCAGTATGTTTATTATTCATTTTTATATTGCAAAAGTTGTGCCACAATCATATTACACAGACTGACTGTGCTCTAAACATATTTGTAGATATCGATCTAACCACGCCAGCTGCAGACGTCTCACCCCTGCGTTTCCTTTTATGTCAGCAAACTGTGCAAACTTGAAGAGGAGATCTAAGTAGCGCATTACCAAACGACTCACACAAGTATTAAGCGTGTTTGATTTCTCAGTAATCGGTCCAGTAGTTCCAGATGCTTCCCACACAAGCCGCTGTCCAACTTTTGTAAAACAAGTTGGTAATGAGCGTTCTTTCTGGCATTTGCATCAACAAGTGGTCACCAGGTTAAAAGTGAGATTGTGGAAATCTGCTATCACCCACGCTTTTAAATGTGAGCTATTTTAGATGTGGTGTGTCCTCACCAAATTAGTTATATTCCACACAATGAACCCAAGCCAACAAACACAAATCCCCATTACTCATCCTCTGAATATTTTTGGTTAAAGGACTGTTGAATATCGTAATTTGCCGTAGAGATGGAGATATAAATCTTACATCATTGCATCACTAATGCACCCTCTGCCACCACCATATATCATCTCTCTTGTTAGATGACTCATGTCTTTCTTCAGCTCTTTTCTTGGACTTTCTTTTCACGGCTCCTCTCTTCCTTTCTCCTCTATGTTCTTTCTCCGTCTCTTGCTCAAGGAGAGAAATACACAGAGTAACTGTTGTTTTTCTCCTGTCATTCAGATGGAAATTCTAATCTCCCTTTAAAAGAAAGTAAGAGAGTGCAAGTGGAGGGGTGGGTGGTGGGGAGGCGGTGTGGTGGTGGTGGTGGAGAGGATACCAGTGAGCCCAGCACAGTGCAGAAAGAGGAAAAAGAAACGGAGATCTGGATATTACCTCCTGATTTACAGGGAGAGAGACTTCAGCTTTATCTGTTTGTTTTTTCTAAGTCATCAGAAGAAGTGGAGGTGCTAATTGTCATTGCCATTTTTTTTTTTTTAATTATTATTTTTAAGATGTACCTTCAGTAACAAAAACTGCATTGTGCATCATTCGCTATTTGTTTCACTGCTAACAATCTTCTCAATTGCAGTATTGATACAGAAGCTTCATTTAACTTCCAACTCCCTGGATGAATGTTAAAAAGTTGCATTTATTTGATTATTAATTTTACAAAAATTGCAAAAACCTGAAGTCAATGCATGCATTTTTTTCCCCACAGGTGTTACCAATATTGGAAAAAGTACTACACATGACAAAAATTTCACTACTTATATATATTTTTTTGCTTCAGTGCTTGTTTTCTATAGAACAGCCTTCACTGCAGCCCAGTTCAACCAAAAATCTATATTTTTGTCACGTGGGCCTCTGAGCTGAGTCATCAAGAGCTTCCTGGCTGCACTGTGAAGTACAGAAATGTTCATTTTTTTTGTAGAATCTGGTTAAAAATTGTTTTATTTTTGGCTTTATTTTTCATGTGACGTGTTGAATAAAGTGAATCTGGTGAAATATCTTGTTTTAAAGCTGAGATTTGGTTGAGTTTTTCTTTGGGAACGTCACAGATGAGTACAATAAGGACCGTCGGAAGGTTCTTAATCTCGCAATTTCTTTCCCAGTTTCATGTTTTGATCAGTGATTTTTGTAACAACACGCCTCTCAGACCTGCCAATGAGTTTTGTGGTTGAAAGGATTAGTGAACTGACATGTTGAAAACGTATCTCTCCTCTTCTTGTGTCCTAGGTCTATCTCATCAATCCGTGGCGAGTTGGTGCCCTATTTGGTGCGTAAGCAATTTTCCAAAACAATTAACAGTCAGAAAATGAAAGACGACACAGAGGATCAGACCCAGAAAAAGAATGACGGCTCTACGAACCACGGTTAGTAGTAGCACCGAAACATCAAAATCAGAGAAAAAACCATGTTTAACAGACACAGCTTTAAAACATCTACAACACAGCAACATAGAGAACTGCTGGATTCGGTATTTGCCAAACATCAGCGCTGATTTGGAGCAAGTTGGCACAAAAAAAAAATCCACAACAGCATCATCTGTGTATCGCTTCTTCTAACTTTCTTCTCTCTTTGTACCATCCAGAGCTCCTCATCTCATCCCGGGACGAGCCTCTCCTCCAGCTGGCTCAGGAGCGCTCCTGTTGGAATGACCACCACGGTGACATGAGCGAGGCTTACCATGGAGGAAAGCTGCGCTGCTACGTCCACATCATGGACCAGGGCCTGTGCTACCGTGTTAATACTCTAGCTGCTTACATTGAGGCAAACCGAATGGTGAGTCAGACATTCTCCGTTGAGCGGCGTGAATGTTCTGTACATACGAGATGCAGGTCTAGAGGCAAGTCGTGTCTAAATTCTTATGATTTCATGCTTCTTTTTTTTTTTTTTGGAGTTTTCAGCTTTTTCACCAAGCCAAAAAACTTGTTAGCGTGAGTCCTTTTTTTATATCATGCCTCACTCTCTTCTGTTTCCTACTTCTAGGCCCCAAAGCTGTTTGAAGAGCCTGCAGTCCACCCATCTGCTGTCATTTCTGAGAGATGTCAGGTAAGAGTAACCCATAAGTCTGATCCGTATTATTTCATATTTCAGTTCGGTTGCATTTTTCTCTTAATTCGCAAAATGTCCTTCATTGTCATCCACAACCACCACCGGAGTTACACCTCACCATCTTTGTAGAAGCTCGTATATGTGTGTATCTCTGTCTGATTAATGTTTTTCCATTTGCATTCTGTCCTCAGATGGGATCAGACAGCATCATCGGAGCTCTGTGCCAGGTAGCAGATAAGACTTCCATAAAAAGGTCCACTATCGGACACTCCACCGCCGTGAAAGAGAAGGTCAGAGTCACCAACTCCATCATCATGCACGGAGTTACCGTCGAGGAGGGGTGAGAACACACACATCTGTGCACAACACAGGCACACACTTGTTGAGGATGTGGACTTTGAAGTGCTTTCATAAACTCGCTAATTTAACCTGGAAAGAAAAAAAGAAATCGCCTCGAAGGCATGTTGATGAATTAAATGTTGTAACACGCTTTTTTTTCTTTGTAAGTGTTCAGTTAGTACATGCTGGCTGTGTGTGACAAAGCAGCGGTTAGTAAGCAAACATTTCGAAATACAGTCACTCATCTTTATGTTTCCAGGAAAGCACCTTTAATCTCCGTTCAAACTTTCATATTTCTTACATGACGTGAAATTTTGCAACTACAAACGCTGCCTGCTGAGTTCTGCACTTTTTTTTCCTCATTATTGGTTGACACTGTTTTTGTTTTTTTTGTCCCATTTAAAAGCTCTGCCTTCATTCACTGCATCTTTCTATTGAATTTTTCTAGGTGCTCTCATGCAAATAGTGCGTGTGGGTCCGGCAGATGCTCGTGTGTGTGTGTGTGTGCGTCCGTTGATAGGAGGTGTAGCAGGTTTTGTTTTCTGTGCTCTGTGAGGTCAAATTGGGATCGCTGAGTTAACAATGCACCTATTGGTGTGCAACCAGCCAGAGACCAGTTCCAAACAAACACAGAGCTGCTGAAGTGAAACACACAACATCCATATATTTCATTTAGCCCCTAATTTACTCGCCCATGCCCAGTTTCCCACTGGTTGTAGAATTTATGGAATACCATGGGTAGGGGGGGTTGAATGGTGTATTCTCTAATGGCCGCTCTCAAATAGTTGAGGAGCACTGACATTATGAATTGATTGTTTCATTAGTATCAGCTAATCCAATGTCAACATTTTTATAATAATGTACATAGTTGTTTAGTAGATTTACCTGGTGTTCATAGTTATCCTCTTTCTACCATCTTTGGTTTGAAGCAAAAGGTCCCATCATGAACTAATGAACAGCGTGTTGGTGAGCTGTAACCCAAATATGGCAAACATCTGTAGTTACATCTTCACATTTCTGTTTCCGTGTACCATTGTTATAATTTAAATGTCTTGTTTTTGTTCGTTTGTAATTTTGTTTTTGCGATGAGCGCTTGACATAATTACCAACAGGAAAACAGAAACCACTAAATTACTAAAGAATGTGCTTAAAATTCTGCAGATGTTTTGCCTTTCTTTTTAGAAGGTGCCAACCAAACGGTTTTACGTCATTTCGACCCTTTTGGAGTTTGAAATATCACACGAGTGAGCCAGGAGCAGCTCTAGCTTGGTTGAGGAAAGGTGGATGCAGAACGTGGAGGACGGTGTGATTATGATTTGAACGTTATGGACAATCTGAGCAGTGATGCGCCGTCATTAGCAGCATTACTGCACTGACTGGTCTCAACCGTAGCCAGTGGTTAAAGTCAAAAGAACTGACTGCTTTGTTGCAACAAAGAGGGCTTGCACAGAGAGCAACAGTAGCTACTGTAGAATTAGCATGTAGATTGATCTGTTCAGTCTCTTAGCCAGAAATCTTGGTGGAAAGAGACTCATCTTGGCCTCAAGTCCGGATTTTAATGCACTCATTCACAGGCTCCTTTTCTTTTATCTCAATTTCTTACTCCTCCCTCTCTTTTCTTTCCGTCGAGGCCTCAACACCATCTCCCTCTCTTTCTGTCTCTTGCCATCCCTTCTTAAGCCTTTCAGGGACCCCAGCCAGCCAGCATGGGGACCCTCATCATGCCCATGTAGGTGCACGCACAAAGGCATGAAAGAATGAGAGAGACGGGAGAAGGGAAGAAAGAAGCGAAGGGGAAAGCAAGCTAGCACGCAAGAAAGAAATTGCAATTCTTTCTTTTCTCGCTTTGAGGACATAAGAAGGAAGGGAGAAAGAAGGAAAGAAAGAGCCAGTATGAGGGGATTAGCAGACCCCAGCCATGTCGCAGAAACCCCTCGCATTTCTGGTTTCTTTGTTTGGAGCTGACCAGAGCTTGTTGACAAAGCGCTGCGTGTTTGGGAAGGGGGATAGTAGGGGTCAACTTTATAGGGGATGGGGGGGGGGTTGGCACAGGAGGTGGGGGTTGACGTGTGTGTGTGTGTGTTTGTGTGTGTGTGTGTGTGTGTGTGATAGAGAGGGAGGATGGGGGGGTCATGGCAAGGAGGAGCCCTGGTGTTAGTAATTAGTGGTGTTTCAGCTCCGAAAGCTTCTTTGGTGGTCTCTCTCTCTCCCTCTCTCTCTAATGTTACAAAACTCTGAATCTTGTAATCTCCCATCACCAACTACCACCACCACCTCCTAGGTAGTCACTTAAACACACACACACACACACACACACACACACACACACTCTTTTCTCCCTCTCCCTCCAGGCCTAACCACCTGAATAGAATGGGCCAATACAAACCTGTCTGTGTGTGAGGTGCACAGGGCCAAGTGTGTGTGCGTCACTGCCTGGGCAAGACCAACATGTGTTCTCCGCTGGGCTCCCCGAGCTACTGAAACACACACATTCCCCTATCCCGCACACACACACACACACACACACACAACTCGCACACACACGCGCCCTTCACGGTCAGCCGACGCAGGACACACAAGACTGTCTGTGTCTCTCTCCAAGAATTTTATGGTGATGGTTTGGCTTAATGCGAGCATGCACGGTGGGTTGGCACTGCCAGCTCAGGTGGGACTGCAGCACAGCGCCAACAACGCCTTAACGCACACACACACACATAGACACACACACAGCGCGGCCTGCTGTTGTGACTTCATATATATGCTAATGTTGTGTCATTAAGTTCAGTTGATTGGATACTTTTTGGAGTTTTCGGAGCAGGTGTGAGGATCTTTTACGGGGAAACAGTCTGAATGTCGGCGGAACCTCCAGCGAGAGAAGAAGCTTCGCAGCCAGCTGTGGAAGTCTGCGCCTGTACTGGGCAGCTCCCAGTACCGTATGAATGTTCTCCGCTGTGTGTGCGTGCCTGCGTGTGTGTACATAAGAGCCCGAAGAGTAAACAACTGAGCTGAAAAATAATGTTTTGACACTAATGAGCCACTGATTCATCCGTTGCAGGTGCTTAGTAACCCAAGACTCGGGAATGCCTAAAAGGGATATTGTTGAGTGGCTGTAATTCATGTAACTTTTTGTGTTGCGTGGATGATGTGAAATAGAAGGAATTGTGGTTTATTGAAGCGCCTCATCCCCTCTCAGGGACAATTTATCGTACTGTATACTCGTTTAGACCGGTTGTGTGTCATGGAGAGATGAAAGTTTGATTGTTTTTCTAATCACACCCTGAAGCCTTTGGTTAGACCCGTTAGCTCTCCACGCTGCATGAATGGCCACCTCTGGAGAAATCGAGTGTCCAGTAGAAGTTCTAAATATAAAAAACATCTAATTAATTTGTGTGTGTGATTTCCAGATGTAACATCCAGGGCAGCGTGATCTGCAGTAATGCTGTTATTGGCCGAGGAGCAGACCTCAAGTACTGTCTGGTGGGGAACGGACAACGGATCGAACCAGAGGGTGAGACCCACTGACATAAACACACACACACACACACACACATAAGGAAATGGGCCACTAAGTTAGTATTTTATTCCCACGATTTCTTACCATCAGCAGGCACCACCTTGATCTTGCTGTTTGTTTACCTTGTTGTTATAGATCATGTCATATCTCATGTTTAGACTAATATCTCATGTCTTATTCCGGTAAATGTAACGTACACGAGGTAAGTTTAGTGGCTCTTCTGGTTCTTTTTCTCAAAAGAGGAAATGAATCAAGACACATCCTCGTGGTTAACTATGGTTCGTATTAACATTTCTACATTTTAAGGTTGTTTCATGGCACAAGATACTAATCTGGCAGTTTTGAATCTCAAATGTAATGAACTGGATGCTGTTCAAAGGCTATGAAATGGTTTCAATAAAGCTGTAGTGCCAAAAAAAAACAAAAAAACAGAGTGGACAAAATAATAGAAACACCCCAAAAATAGTATTGGAGCTTGTTATTTCCATTTTTTTGTGTGTGTGTGTTGCTGTTACTTTTTTCACCCCAAGCTCTTCTCTCTGGCTGACTCAGATAAGGTGTTAACGTATGTGTGTGGTATCCGTTTATAAGTGCCAAGTGTTGGAGCCAACAAGGAAAGTTTCTTCATTCTGAAGTCTGATTTGTCAGATTTATTTTTTTTTATTTCCTTAATCCTCTTGTCCCCAAAGCTAGCTGTGTGTGTGCGTGTGTGTGTTTGTGTGCATGTGTGTGCGCGCATGTGTGTGTGTGTGTGTGTCACATTGATGGAGAGGTTAGAGAGCAGGGCCAGAACAGGACCACCCGGAATTCAACAGCAGCGGCCTCCAGCCACATCCACACACACACACACACACAGACGCACACACACACTCGCACACATATAGAGAAAGAGGCAGCGAGCTCGCCTACCAGACTGAGCAGCCTAATTGAGTGAACAACAGGCTGCTCTAAGTAACAACAGTGTGAATCTGAGCTAAACTCGTCGAAAAACGGACACAGCCGAGGCCTTTCGGAGCATCCGCCAAGCCATCGCTGCAACAGTCTTTGCTCCGGCTTTTTTGGCCAGATTTCTTTTCTTATTGGGCAGTTGCTAGCTTTATGTTAATGAACGCTGGAAACTTGGAACCCTGGCTGCATAATTGTTTTGCATACACTGTATAGCCAAAGTTCAGTCACACAACAGCAACAGCCTTTTGTTTCTGTTTGTCTCTCGGTCTTATTGTTTGTCTTACGCAAACACGCACACAGATGCTTTTTCTTTTTTTATTTCATTTATTTCATCCTTAAACTGTATCTTTACTAGACGTCTTAAACACATCTGGTGTATATCGTAAACTCAGGGTCACGTGTACGTCGAATAGCCCAAAAACTACAGAAAATGTTACAGTTATAATCAGCAGAAAACACTCTGTTATTCCCAGTCTCAATTTGGAGTCAAAAAAGCTTCTATTAAACAAAATTAGAAGGATGTAAAGTAAACATCAGCCAGAGCATTAGAGGAATGACCCTTCTTTAGCGGCTAAATACGGTATACACAGTTATAGAGATCTTGGCGTCGTTTCTTATTATCATCATTTGGTGCATTAACTTTTTGGAACATTTCTAGACGTGTGTGCTGGATGTCAAAATCTATGAACGGGGTAAGAAATAAAAACCTAAACGCTGTTATTTTTTCGGATAATCTTGAGCTATGTACAAATGTGTATGTCTTGTGCGGAGAACACATTCACCTGGTAATGCCTCAGTGAGTAATCCACTGTAATCTACCTCAAAGGTTTTCCACAAACACTCAGGTACAATCACTCCCTGTAGTTTGGGTTAGATTAGATTATTCTATATGATGCTTTCCAACAAAGATAAGCGTTCTCTCTCTTCTACTTTTTATTGTATTGTAAAAAAAAACACAAGATTGCGTCTCGCCACCTATCTCGCTGGCTGACCGTAGGCTGCTAAAGACATTACACACCCACTCTGCTGCTGAAGCTGTTAGCAGCTAAGGACCACCCTGACAGTTTGCCTCACACACACACATACAGGTCCATCAGGTGTTGATATTTAGAAGATCCATCCCTCTACTCTACATGTATTCATATAGTACACTGTTTCTCTACATCTACTTGAAGATAGTGAGCATCTTGTGGGGAATTCTACCTGCACTTATCTATATTTGGTGACACAGTCCAGCGTCTTCTTTAGCATTTTTCCTTCCTCCATTGTTAAGACTTGCTCCTTGTATATTGTCGCCGCCCCAGCAGGAGGAATATGTCAATACATATGGTCCTAATACATCTACAAACTAGATTAGTTACCGACAAATCATCTGGTCCAAATTGAGTGACCTTTCCTCCCCTTCCCGCTCCCTCTCCTGCCGTCCCATGTTCCATTTGTCCTCCCCTCCACACAGCCGAGGAGAAGCTCGTTCTGAGCAACAGATTCCTTCACACTAAAACCTGTCTGTGTGGATGGAACATAACTCTCTGCCACCGTTTGCTTTGGATCGGCACCGGTGCTGGGAGATGGAGGGGATGTAAAAGGCGGAGCTGTGGCCGCTCTCCTCGATGCTAAACTAGCTTCGGGTTGAGAGCGATAGCAAAAAAAAAAAAAATGGCAGACTTAAGTTTCAAGCATCATCTATTTCTTTCAGCGAGGTTCAGAGAGCGGTCAGGGTGACCTAAATCTTACCACGCTGAAGATTCTGGGACTGATCTCAAAATAAATTGAAGGATCATACAGTGAATATGCATGTTGTAGGCCATTTACTCCACATTGCATGCATGCTGAATTTCCTAGCTGCCGGGTAGCCATTGTTTTCCATTCATTTCATTACGGTGTCATAATGAATATGAAGAAATTGCGTAATGGGTTTTCCATTACAGAAAGAATTTTGCTAACTTGAAACATTTGGCAGATGTGACGTTCGAGCATCTGCATCAGGTAATAAAGTTGAAAGACTGTTTTGAAAACTCTTGATGGTATCTTTGAGGAGCCTCTCACATCCAAGATTTGCAAAAACAGCCCTTTGTTAGAGGAAAGTACCGCATTCTGCTTCATGCTTTGTACTGTTTTCCAAAAGCATACCCTCCTCACGCCATGCCGTTTGACAACCAGGTCACATTTTGAATGCGACGTGATTTAAAAGTAAAGATCGAGACGGGATCATTTTGTATAGACTGGGGTGTAGCTTTTATTTCACATATTTTTAAAATTGTTCAAGGGGTTTTGGGAAAGTTTCATCAACCTCAAGGATCCTACGGCCTTTCTTATCAATTAGAAAAACTACTAACATGAAAACAGCTGGAAGGTAATCCTTTTTTTTTTTTTTTCTGCTTCCATTTGCAAATGTCTCCCTTTTCTTCAGCTGAGCGGACTAACGAGGTCATCGTTGGAACGGACCAGCTGATGGAGATCTAGCTTTCGCAAGGAAGGAGCGACACCACCAATTCGAGAGCAGCAAAACACAGAGAACAACGAATTCCCCAGCTGACTGACCAATCGGAAGCCTGGATGCTGCTTGACAGTTCTACACTCTGTTCTCTTGGGCGTTTTTTTGTACATTGTGTCCAAATAAACACGAGTCAGCTTAAAACTCCTGAGTTAGTCTGTTTTTATTCTTTGTTTTTTTTTCTTCTTTTGTCTTTTACAGATTTAGGAACGGAGCGATGCCCTCTGTTTGGCTGCGACCGACAGCACCAGACAGATCTTTAGCAGTCATGTCACCACACTAACTATTATCAGATCATTACTGTCTCTTAATAGCGGGACTCAATTACTCAATTTAGCCCGTACCAGAGGGAGGAGCACGGGCTCGTACACGTCTGAATGTTCATGGGTGTTTACACATGCACACTGTGCAGCTGTGAAGACCAGAGATGGGGAGAAAAAGCAGTGGGAGGGGTGACCACAATGGTGTGGGGGTTAAGTTTATTTGTACACAAAAATGGTGTATGTGTAGGCCCTGGACCACCCAGCTTGATCCTGTATCAGTTAACACCGACACCCCACCCTCGCACACACTCACGAACACAGCCGAGGAGGAAACTGACTCGCGCCTGACGCTTTTCTTTCTTTCTTTCTTTTTTTTCTCCCCCCGTCTTCTTCCCCTTTCTGCTCCCTTTTGCTGTCACAAGATTTATTGCACTCCGTCAGTAGAGTTTTTTCTTAAATTACAGGTTTGAAGCGCTTCAGTCACGAAGGAAGAAGATGAGGACAGGGATGCTTGCGGGGATGCTTTTTTGTACGTGTGTGTGTGCATGTGTGTGTGTGTGTGTGTGTGTTGTGATTTACTGTCCTCTGTTTCCTATTGTGTCTGTGGCCTTGCAAGAATCATTTCGACTGTCTCTTGTGGCCTCGTTATGTGATGTTGCTGTATGTGTGTGTGTGTGTGTGTGTGCAGATTATGATGTTGCCGTCCTCCTCTACCCTCCTTTAGATGGACTTTTTAGCCTGTTAGTGACACTGATACGCTCTTATATATAATTCTTTTTTCACTCTTGTGGCTTTATACTTAAACTTTATAAACGAGTCTATTCATATACAGTATGCTGCACCAAAAAGTTTACAACCTAACTCTTTGCAGAACAACTTTCATATGGATTCTTGACACACTTCACTCAAAATATGAGATTTTTTAAGCTGGATTTTCTAATTGGCTCAACAGTTAAACCCTTAAAGGGACACTTGACTGATTTTTATACGCAAAGATTCCTGTACTTATCAGGTGGCTTCTATAATGCTCTATGAGAAAATAATCCTGATCAGATGAAATATACTCGCACCAGACAGTAGTTATACTAAAAAAAGGAGATTTTTGAGGAACACGTCATGAAGGAGCGGCTTACAGATGCGAAAATGAAAATAGAGATGGAAACATTCTTGGAAAACGAAAACTAAATACATTTTCAGAAAGACATCATTTCCAGTGACATGCTTCATAGCGATTGTTTAACACATCTTTAGCATCTTTTACTCGCCATCAACCTACCCGACGACACAAGTGCGATTATTTCGTTCGACTTGAACTAAAGCAGGTGAAACTCAACAAACTACTTGGTATTCAGACAACTTACAAAGCGGCAGATTTCAGTTTTTTGCTTAAGGGATGCAAATCAAAGAGTTCCACTTTCATTTCACTGGTGTTCAGACAAGACTACATTCCATAAATGTGGGTCTGAAAACACGAACTTTGAAAGAAACTGTATGCTTTATTTGGCCTTTTTTGGCGCCACCACAGAATTGTCTTCACACTGTGTTTACTGTAGAAGCGGCTTCAGCCCGCAGACTGAAATACTTCACAGTTCAGTACTTTTCCATGCCCCTTGTCTTACCTGTGTTCGTCTGTCCGTTTGTTTTGTTTTTTTTTCTTTTGGTCTTCATTTTAATTCATAATTTTCTTTCTAAAAAAAAGTGTAGAAAATGGGAATGTTCATGATTTCAGGATTTCATAACATCCTTGCAGTTTTATTTCCAGGTTGCTTCCCTTTAACCTTTTCTCATACATGTGCACATATCTAATTTTTATACTTTTCACCACCATAATTATTCTAGTAGTAGTAGTATTGCCTATTTGGGCCATGATGAGCAAATGCAACCTAGTTCGAAACTTGTCGGAGTGACTAAATGTGACACATTTTTACCTGAACTGTGAGCTAAAAAAACACAAAACCAACAACGAAGGCTCACTGTGTCCGAGCTCTTTGTCTTGGCTGTGTTCACCTTTTAGCAATGTTACACTCTGACCTCTCTCTTCAACCACATGATGAGATCTGGCAGCCGGGTGTGTTTGGGTAGAGGGTTGTATATTTATACAAAGACCACAGAGTCCCCTCAATGCAACGCCACCACGGCTGAACCCGCCTTCCAGCACACACATAGATCTGCTGCTCGTTCACATGTGTGCGCAGGCTTACCTGTGTGTGACCACTGATAATCCTCTGTCGCACAAACTAATCGACGCCATCTAACACCCCCCCCCTCCGTGAGTGAACGCAAGCATGCATGTGCATACATGCGTAGTCAAATGCGCATGTTTGCTTTGCAGATCTGGAGATCCGATGTCGAGACGTGGATCATATATCAGGCTGTCTGTTCGGTCTTTGGCTCTGCAGCCTTGTGGCATTTTCTAACAGCTCCACAGAAGATTTTCATATAATTATGCATCCCAAACAAATCCATCGAGCACTGCTGAGAAAAGAAGTGATCTGAAAAGTCAAACATTTTCATGCACAGATTGTCATCAGCTGCCCATGTTGCTGGCAGCACATTTGTCCACTGGATTTGTTTTAACAGAGATGAAATCTACTATGTTAATAAATGAAGAGTCCTTTGCACAACTGCACTGATGTTTTAAAAAACAAATTTACGATTTAACTCGCCTGAAGTGCCTCCGCGGTGTGTGTTCGAGTCTGATGAAATGTGTATTCTTTTGAGCCTGCGTACAGACTGACTCATGAAAATGTAGAAGGTCTGGAGTTCGACACGCTGCTTCTCATCAGAGTTTTTTTTGAAGACTCTGGGAAATGACTCCATGCCGGTTGAAGAAAATTCAAAAGGTTGTCAACATCTGATGCTTTTTGTCAAGATAGATGCATGGCAGCATACGACACTTCTGTTACGTTAACTCGACACTATTTCGTGCCTCGTGTGTGCCTCCAAAACACAGATTTATTTAATAAAATACATCTGCTTTGTTAGTTTGTAGTTTTATGGGTTAGTTCATGCAAATCACCAAAACAAAAAAACATAATCCCCCACAGCGACATGAAAACATGAAGTTTCAGTTTTAGTTTCACAGTCTAACCACTGAATACAATGGATGTGAATGGAAATTAGTTTCACAAAGTATTACAAAAAAAAAAAAGGATTTCTGCTTAATATTTGAATGTAGTTGTTTGGTACGCTTGACAATCCAAATGTATGACTGGCACTTGCTTTTATTGGAGTTACAGGAGATGATCCAGAGTAAATAAGGTTAAAAAATTACAGAGGAAGTAGCGGACCACCTTCGGTTATGATTTACGAGGTGAGACAGTGACTAAGAATCAACCAAACGGCACATTTTCGAAGCAGAAAATGAGCGAAGAAATAAGTTTGGCCACATTTTAGAAAAAGTAGGGAAATGAAACCCGCCACATTAAAAGCTTTTAAAGGAGTAGCCCAACTGAAAACTGAAGATACCAAATATGTCATGTTAGAATTATGAGGAGTTAGCGTATAAAAATTATGCAAAGGACATTCCCATCTGAAGGAATGGCTTTTATTCAGCCTGCGCATCGCGACTTTAAGGAAGAGCTGAAACAAGCTTAGACAGATTGAGTCTGTCAATCCACGTGGAATTAGATGGTTTTAACAGCCTTAAAGTCAAATAAGGAGGGGAAATTTTTCTCGAGTGCCTTCATAAACTTTTGCTTGCCGCTGCCAATCCGCGAAGTTCTGCTTCTGCCGAGCCCTAAAGGGGGAAATATAATATAAAAGAGGCACAGTGAGAGACAGATGGGTCGGATGGGATGGTGGAGGCAAATGTGTGATGCATCGACGTACGCAGATGCACGGAGGGGTGGGGTGGGGCTTTTGGGTTGGTGGTGGTGGGGGGGTGTTGGCTGAGTGGATGGGTGGCTTCATGGCTTGAGGGCTGATTGTGGGTGAGCGAGAGACAGACAGGGAGGGAGAGAGAGAGGGAGGCCACCCAAGTGGCAGTCAGTCAGAAACCTGCGTGTGTTTGCTGCTGACCCCTACACATTAGCACAACACTTCCTCAATTTGTCTTCTGTGTTCTCCGGCCACAAATGAATTTCCTCCCTCCCTCTTTTTTTTTTTTTTTTTTTTTTTCCACACACTACCTTTCAAGATGCTATCCCCCCCCCCACCACCATCACCACCACCACCACCCACTACCCCTTCGACACCAAAACCACACACACACATACAGACACACCGCCATCTCTAACTTAAACATCTGAATACACACAAACACCCCTTTTTTTTTTTTTACAAGCTTTAGAAGGGTTGCTTATGTTGCTTAGCCAATAAAGAGTGTGTGTGGAGACACAGATCCCATGTATGGGATAACAACTTCAGTGACACACACACACACTAAGGGAGAGATCCCCCCCCCCCTCCCCTCCAGCTAATTAACTAAACAGTGAGTGGGTGGTGGATTGGGATCGTGTCTTTTGCAATAAAGCCACAATAAGAAGCAACGGATCGACTTCTTTTACACCCTCAGGTGACCTTTTCTTTCTAATCTTATTAGTGTTTCCCTGGAACTGTAAATAGGACTGGCTGTTTCCAATCATTCTTGCCTTGAATATAAAATTTTGCGTCCTCTTGTTGCACTCTAATCTTAATATAATCACCTTAAAATCACCTTGTTCTGTTCAATTTAACATCTTGCAATGAGCTTAAAAATTCCAAGGATGTGTTTCTGAAGGGAGATTTTGTCCCTGTGTGATCAAGATAAAAGCTTATCTTCCTGTTGAAGGAAAGAAAAAAAAATCTAAATATAATTTCTGTGTCGTCTGGGAGCCGCACTGATGATCTTTTTCGTCACTTGCAAATCACAATAGCTCAGAGCTGGAAAGCTGCACTATTTCAG